AAACAAAATCTGAGTAAATTAAGCAAAGCAGACAAAAAGAGACCAGAAGTATTGAAGCTGACTATTCAGTGATAATTATTGAAACATCATCAATGCATTGGAGAGACATACAGCTCTTAAAAAATGCACCCAGATTTTTAATCAGATATCTCAACCAGATATAACTGTGGTGCGTCTGCATGTCAGCGGACGACTTTGAAAAGACACGGCAGTGTGAGGTTTCATACGCGTCTTTCATCTGATTTACGGGGGTTTGTGTGGGCTTCTGATTGCTCTATATTTTATTAACTCCATTTCAGCAGGTGGTTTTGATGTTTTCCTTGGCTTCAGCACCATAACAAATTGGCTTCTGTGAGTCTTCCTAACTATAAAAGAACATTCCTACAACAACCCTCATTTTCTGGGCGACCACTGACTGATGCTGCATTTAATCTCCATCTTGCTTGTAAACTTGAGCAGTAGAAAGTAATAAAAACCAAAGCAAGGAAGTAATACAATATTTAGCAAGTTTTGTGGCGAAAAGGTGACAGAAGATAAACTGAGAATGACAAACATAAAAATACCCCTGCAAAAAAAAAAACATAAATTCACCTGGGATCAGGCTGATGTTCCATGTTTCTTAAAGATAAAATCACTTAATTTTTATTATTAATACACATTAGAGGTTGACCTGCTATTAGGGAGCAATAAATAACATGGTAAGAAGAAGAAGAGCTGAATATGTGGCGTTTCTGGTGTTAAACGGTAGGTAAAAGCAGCCTCTGCAGTTAATTAGTCCTTCAGTATTACCACCAGAAATAAAATGAATAATCTACACTATTGTAAAGTTATGTTATTTCAGTAGATGATGCAGGAGAATGCTGAAATGTTTTAGTTTTATCAGGGGTAAAAACATGTCACCTTTCAAAAGAATTAGCAGGATTACAATCAAAAAAATATGTTGTAATATGAAATCAGCAAAAAAAATATGCAATTAACTCGCTAGTGAATTAGATTTTCCGAAAGGTCAAGATTTTCTTAGTCATTTTAACTACGGAGGGGAATAAACTGAGCTGCAAGATTTTTCAGCAGAAGCTATTTTGATGCTTGTCAAAATTTGTACTCTATTTTGAAAAAAACAACAACAAAAAAACATTTGAATTTCCATTCTTGATTATCAGACATCAGGACTGATATTGAGACAGCTAAAAAATTTAATCTGACATTTTAAATTTTTATACATTTTAACCTAAGCTGTTGCTTACAATCACAATCAACATCATGAAAACCAAAATGGCTGCTGGATAGTCGTCACGTTGTGAGTTGTAGGAGGAAGTGTACTTTCGCCTGAGCATGACAGATATAGATTAGTTATCACAACATACCATCAGCTCCAAACCTGAGTTCTTGACACCTAGTCTAAATAGACACAACTCATTTTACTCCAGAGATTTCAAAGATCAAGATTTTACAGATTTGATGGTGAGTGACTTCAGATGCGGCAGGTTAGTTTGAGATTTTCATCACTACTAAAACAGATTGAACAAAGCCTGTAGAGGGCTTACAGGGAGAAGCTACTTTAACTCATCAAAAGGTCTCATAATCTCTATAATCATGGCTGTGAAATTAGCTACTTGAGTTGCTATGAAAAGAAGACATGAAATCACATCTACAGCTGGAGTCCAATACCTCGAAAATGTGCTGTCAATGCAATTTTTATCTAATAAAAGAACTGATCTTCATTAACGTGAAATTCAATACTGGTCCCAGAAACATTAGAAACCTCCCTCTGTGGATGTGGGGAACCTGGCTGGTGCTGCAGAGAAAGACAACAAAAACATCACCTTAAGCGAGACAGACTCGCGCTGCACTTACAGCATCGGAGAAGCAAAGCAGGCCTCGGTAATAAACCTCGAGTTATGATTTATGAGTTATCTCTGGGACATTTATGGCCACTTGCTTGTATGTCACGAGAAACAATCCAATTTGAGACAAGAAATGGAGAGCAGGCTCTGTACTTATTAGATTGACTCCTCAATTTCACCGTCAGGAGAAAATAAGATTTCAGCATAAGCTTTTTCCCACCCAAAATATGAAAAAACAAAGTCAATTCAAAGTGATGTTGGAGGAAAGATGGGAAATATGTGACTTCTGATCTGCAACCTTGCAGTGATTTCCCCCCTCCTCTCTTTTTCTTCTCTTCATCTGACAGTGTCTTTCCTCAGAGCATTTCCCCAGAGCCTGAGCTCAACCTGCAGAGCTGCTATGTGTGGCAACTGTTGAACAAAATGGGCTCTCATAAAAATGAGCTGGAAAATCGATGCAAGGAGGGGGATTTCTTTTAAACAGGTGAAATTGAGGGCCAGAAACATAAAAAAGAGAGCGGAGAAAGGCTAAGAAAGGATTTGGGAGGTGAAACGGAGAATTTAAGAGAAAAGCGCGCCGGCTCCTTCTCTGTGTTACCGGGTTTAATTTCATGCAAAGACATTTGAGTTGTCTGTGTGTTTTTGTGTATTGGCAGATATGAATCCTACAGCGAAGTGGTGCTGCTGTTTGGATGTTTGCAGCACTTGCTAATGAGCATACTGGGAGGCCTTGCCTTGTTGTTTTGTTGAGTGCTTGAAACATTGCAACGGAGAGGCAAGGGCGGGAAGTTAACTCGAGCTGTCAAAAATAAAATCTTTCAATCTGGGTTAATTGCTCAGGGAGAACCCCTCATCATTATCACTGGAGATGTTATTTTTTTCCCCCCTCTTCTTTCTTGAAGCTAGAAGAAGCTTCAAGAAAGAAGCCATCTCATTCAAGCTGAAATTTTCCCATTATATTGCACAAAACGTAAACATGGCTTTGTTTAGGCCGTTCCACTGGTGTCCTACTTCCCACAGAGCTTCTGTTTGACCTGAAACCATTTACTGCTTTCTCAGCAGCATCCAACATGCCAAAAAAGTAGAAATGACCGAATGTGATCTTCCAGTAGGTCAGTCTGTTTTGTTTTTATTATTTTTTAAATAATACTGGAAAATACCTAAGTCTGTGTTTTAGTGTTTGCGATAAGCAAGTTTCCAGGGATATTTGTTGCATCCCGTGAGACGTGTTTTAAAGCCTTCAACCATTGAGCTCAATACAAACCCAAGACAATAACGCTCTCTCTTTTTCTTTTTTAAAAGAGAGGGATTCTGCTGTCTTTTTAAGGTATTGCCATCTTCTTATCCTCATACCTTTGACGCAGAATCAAAGGTATGAGGATAAGACTAGACGTAGACTTTCACGATCAATAAGTTCAAAAATACAGTGGTTAATGACTCTTCAATCATTTATAACAAACCTGGACAGTTTCAGATTTAAGCTGTCGAAACTTTACCAAACAAAAGATAAAAAATAATATTACAGACGACCTCTTTCAGTCTTCATTCCTGAGATTTCACATTGCATCACTAATTTGCAAACTCCTGATATTCTTGAACACAGCTCAGTGAATTTTACCTGCAGTTCATAACATCAGGTGAACCTCAGTGGGGAAAAATCAAGATTTTTGGCCCTTATTGAAATCCCTGATTCAATTCTAAATAAGCAACATTTTGCTCAAAGGAGCTGATGCTAAAACATTGCATTTTGTCACATCATTTGAGTCTCATACTGTCCTATTTTAAACTTTTAAACTCTTACATTTAGAAAATACTTATATGTAAGAGTTCTTGTTGTGTAAAATATTATTACTCGGGGTGATACTAAGGACTCGGTGTGTATGGTTCACAAGAAATTACTTCCCTGACAGTCACAGTTGGTAAGAAACAAAGATTCCCATTAAATTCCATAGGAAATGAATGCTGGTCATTTTTGACCCACTCACAAAAGAATGGAGTAGTAATAGAAAACATGCTATTTCTTAAAATGTATAAGAGGTAAATTAAAATTTTGAATTGCATGATATTAGTAACATATAGTTTGAGGAATACCTGGAATTTAAAGTGATTAAAACTTTTCATAACAAAAATATTGCAAAAAGATGACCTCACTGGGTCAAAAAGGATGCAATTACGCATCGGAGGGTAAATAATTTATTTTTTTTGTCTGAAATGGGGGCAAGGACCACATTACACACTGAGAAGCTTGTCCAGAAAAGAGATTTTTGCTCTTTCCCATCAGCACTTCTTCCTCTGGAGGGATGGCCTGATTCATTTCATTTTTAATTAACAAATGAAGGGCGTGGCTGGATTTGTGTCTGTTTAAACCTTTGAAGTGAATTGCTTGGTTATGTCAGCAGAGAGGTGCCATCACTGAATTAAAAACCACGCTTATGTAACCCTGGCAGACTAATGCAAGCATCACCAGGGTGAAAATGTGTGAGAAGAAATATGCATCAATGTAAGCTCTGAAGCTGTTACTACAAGGCTTTGTTTTATCTGTCCATCATACATTCTTATCTCCAAAGGTCAATGGGGGTCAACACCCCAAAATATTTTACTTCCCCATCAGCTTTAACTATTTCTCAGCTAGTTCTCACAAAAAAAGTTTCTTGTAGAATATAAAGTGGGACAGAGATTAAACAGATTTTGTAACTACAACTTAAAGTTAATGATTGTGCATCAGTTTATGTAGTGTTTTACAATACTTCAGCCAATACAAAATAAAAATGCATCAGTTTACTAATGTTGAAAAACTGATGGTGCCTGAGGGGAGACAAGAGTTAGAAACAGCCGCTAGGAAAAGACGGGCTATTGTTTAATTAAGGCAAAATTGGCTTGATGTTTAATTAAGACAAAGCTAATCCATCCATTATGAACCGTGGAGGGATTATTTTCAAGGGAAGGAATTTTGTGTTTGATGAAGTTTCAGCTATTGGAAGTGACTGGAAACTGCGATCGCTGCACGATCACCTTGAAGCGAGATCAAGTGGAGAGACTTTTCCAAAATGGCAGCAGACTAGGAATCACTTCGCTGTGGTCACTTGGTCAGTGAGTGCATCGTCTTAGAAACGACAGCAGAGTCACTTTCACTCACTCACACACGCAAACACCCACCATGCCTGGGACTTCCTTCTGGGCACGCTCTGTTTAGTCCACTTGGAGTGAGGGGTCAAGTGGTAAATCAGCTGGCGGCAGATCTTGTTGGTGGATTTGAGTGACTCAGTTTCCTGCAAAAACACAGAAATACAACTGAATCATACTCTTGAGACATAAAATACCTTTGAAACCACATACACTATGCAAAAAAAAAACATCCTGTTATCTCCCACTTTCTCAAAAAACTAAATCAAACTGAACTTTTCATGACATAAAAAAGTTATAAATGCCAGAAAAATTGCAATAACAATAAACGATAATATTGTTGTTTTTAGAGCATTTTTAAGTAATATAATGGTAATGGCAAAAATAATGATGCAAGAGGGCATTCTGAAAGATCAATAAACTGTATTAATAAGAAATATTTAACACTGAAACTAGAAGACATTTTAAATATCTAAAAGAAATCAAACAAAAAAATAAAATAAAATGAATTAAAATGTCTTTGTAAACAGAATTGTCCTTCAGAAACGGGCAAGTTGAGACCAAACTGAAGACTTTTTCATCCAGTTTTTGGTAGAAAGAGTGCAAAAAAAGAGAAACGGTAAATCATACCGATGAACATTATTGAGTTTGTTTTAATTTATCATGCAATAAATTGATTTATTGATAATTGTCTGATTGACAAATCCCTAACCCCATAAAATATATATTATAAAATATCAAACATTAGATGTTTGATATTTGAAGTCCTCCAATAAACTCAATTGAGAAAAATCTCCTACAAACATTTCAGCCAGCAGACATTTCATCACAGACTTTAAGTGTAAAAGGTTGAGCTGAACAGGGAGAATCTAATTAAAGCTACAACTCAATGACAACAAAAAGGCAAAGTCGTAAAAGGGGAAAAACATTGTTTAATTCACCCTGAGGAAACTAACGACTCCTGCTGCTACTTCTTCTCACAGCTGACAAACTGAACAGGCTTCAACATATTCAACCACTTGAATGATCAAGCATGAAGTCACTGGGAGTTTTTTCAAAGGATCCGACGTCTGGATGGATCCACACAGCCAATCGTGTGAAATAATCTGGTGAGTGAATCCAACCGAAGCGTGCGCTGAATTAACTCAAGTCTGACAACACACTCCAAAAATTAGGTTTGTCTTGACTCACAGTCTGTGTTTGGATATTAAATCTATATGATTCCTGGGTTGTTGGAAAATGTTGGTGCCAGAAGCAGCTGCAGGGCCCTGAATTCAGCCTCTCTACACCCTTGTCACGTTTGACACAGTATCTCGCTACGGGTCGGTGGCCAGTCAGGAGCTCACCACTGCCAGTCTCTCACTTTCCTTCCCTGACTCCTGGGCTTTTGCTTCCGAAGCAAACAGGAATAAAAAAGGAGTTTCCTACAGACTTTATCATTGGACTTCTGTGATCTTGTCTTCAGACTTTAAATTTTTTCCTTACAGGAATGACATTTCACCACAAAGAAAGATGATAGCTTCACGCGATTTCTGTCTTTTTGCAGCCAATCTGAGCAGCTGTGCCTCTGTTCACACGCCCAAGATCGAAATGTATCTTGAATTTTAACGCTTCTGATTTGTATGCTGCGCCGCAAGTGAATGAGCTCGGCTGCCAGTCTGGACGAAACGCAATTTACTTCTTAAAGAATCAGTGGTTCCATTTTAGTTTCCGACACATTGAAATGAGGATAGTTGCAGAAATACTAATGAAGAGTGTGATGGCCTGCTTTCAGAGGCAGCATTCAGGAATTAGGGGAGTTTTCTTGTTTAGTTGCTCCGCAGCCACTCGCCAAAGTCCTCAGTGTCCTCACTGTTGGTGCCAAATCTCCTCTGACCCAGTAGCTCGGTGGCCAAAAAGCTTTTTGACTTCAGCACAGCAGCTGCCAATTTTTCAAACGCACAGAAAGGCCAGGGCACTAAATAGGGTCACAACCACATATAATGCTCTCTCTGTTCCCTTTATTCATCCTTAGCTGTCCCTTTATTTTTCAAAGTGAGTACAACTTGATTTATGCATTTGGGAATAGCAAAAAAATCCAGTTTTCCTTTGTTTGTGTTGTAGTGGATTATTGTGTTTGGGTAGTTCTGTAGTTCTAGATGTAGATGAACAACACAATTAAATTACTGATTTAAGAGCCCTGATTTTACAATAAGTGGTCATCAATGCAACATTTAAACAATCTGAAAAGCTGCAGCTTCATACCCGTTTTGGGCATTGCAGGTCCCGGGCGAGACTGAGCAGCAGCTCGTGAGAAATGGGGTCCACCAGGTTGAGAAAAGCTGCGTTCTTGTACAAAATGTCGTTCAGTGATGAGCCCTGCAGTCCTAAGTCCTGAGGGGAAAGAAAAGACCGAAATTAAACTCGGAGCTTCATCTGATTAAACTACTTGTGAACACTGCAAATTTTACCAGCCGATTTGAGCGCTTTTTAGATAAAGACAGATCAAAAAGAGATTTCCAAGCATTTCTTTTATTTTCTCCTTCCATCTCAGCTTCTTATCTTAATGCTGGGAGATAGGGATTCCCCATAAGAGTGCAGCACTGGGCTTTGTCGCACACAGTGCCAATGTACATATGAAGATAATTTCAAAAGCTGAGAGCCATTTGAGAACTGCGTTTAAGTGAGAAGAGATGCAATATTGTTATACCTTAATCAGATAATACAGCTTTACTCTCTGGTGAAGAATAAGTGTTTTTCTACAATATTTCTACCTTCAAGGATTGAAGAAGTTTAAGAGCGATTTAATAAAACCAGAAACCCAGAGGCTTATGAATTGTATGTTTTCCTCAAACCATATCTGTTTAATGTAATGTACATACAGCATGTATGTAGCATGAGTTTGTTAGAATACATGATGTTTTAAGACAGACTGAAGCTTTTTTGCACAGAACAAGCAAGAGAGAAGACATGAAACAACACAATTACCTGAAAGGTTTGTGGGGATAAAAGTTTAGAGGAAATGGTTTCTTTTTAGGTGTAATGCTTAATTATTTCATTATGGACGTTGCTGGTTTCACCAAACATAAAGAGAGGACCCACGTTTTCACCAGTCCATCACCCGCTTGTTGATGGCGAAACCAGAGGCTGCGGCGCTTCTGAATAAATGTTGTCAGCAATTCTTTGAGCTGAGACGCTTTTGAAACGGCAGGCTGGAGGCTAAACATCTTCTATATGTGCTGCCATAAGGCTTCGGGGGCACAGTGGAAACAAAGACAAAAACTTCCATCAGCAGTTTCTCCTCCTCCAGCTTCTGGGTTGATTTATTACAGCCGAGATCAGTGGGATTCCCTGATGCTGGAAGATCCTCCACACACATGTGTGAAGAAACTGAAGCGTTGAGAATTTTTAAACTGTGCCTTTTGATTATGTAAGTGCCTCATTTGATCTGCGCCACTGCTGCATCACATTCTGGTACACAGATGAAAAGACAGCTGTTTTAAATACACAGAGAGATCTGATTGCATTCACTGACGTCTCATTGTGAAAGCATGAAATGTTCTGCTCTTTGTCCCCGACAGGAAGCTTCTGTGCTCTCCTCCTTTTAGCTGCACATCTCCAGGTTTCAATAAGGAGAGCATCTCTAAACCGGAGAACATCATCCCACACATGCGGTTCATTAGAATCCAGAAACATATAAAGCCTAATGTAATAAATCCCATCCCACATGTTTCTGCTTCGATGAAAGAAATATGCAGCAGCAGTCAGAAGATGGAGGTTAATTTAACTCCATTTTCAATAGATTTATGGTCCTCTGGTTCAACTACCTGATTAATTGTTCATGACTGGGTGACTTACTGTTGCGATCCATTAGTTAATGACCTCAGGGCTAAATGCATAAAATCCAAAACATATGCGGCATCCAAAAAACACAACAGCCAAACTTTTCAAGAGGTTGTAATTTGGACAAAAATTAGACCGCAAACAACTTTTAGGACTGTTTCTGTCTGTTTGAAAAAAACACAAACAGAACGGGAAACTTGCAAAATTTGTTTTCCCCATTTTAAGATCAGACTGTATGTTCAACTCACCGAAGGAATTCATATCTGACAATTTATTCGTGCATCTGAACTACGATCTATACGCAGGATTTGAAAATGTTTCAGCAGCATCAAAGCCTGTTGAAACATAAACCTGTCTTTCAATGCGTCAGTGGTTTGTCACACAAAATTTACCAATATAATGACAAGAAATATAATGTTGGAGTGTTTGGATTAATCAGCCTTGGTGATGTTTTCTGCTTATGTGTAGGTGACAAAAAAAAAAAACTTAACAAAAGAATTTCCATCAACTTTAAACTATGTCACAGTATAAAATAAACTCAATGACAAAGTATAAACACAAAAACTACTTTTAAATGGCACTATTCACTTTAAGTCAATGAATTTGAATTAACAACTCCTGCAAGAAATATTCAACTGTCTTGTTTCTGTATAATGTGCAATGTGAATATCATTGCACAGTACAATGTGAATATTTTGAATGAAGTGAAGTCATGTTGATAAAAGAAATGAGCTTATCAAGGCTATTTATGTCACAAAATAAGAAATAAAATCTGTTCTGCTGTTAAATCACCTGTAAATAATGTAATGATTGAAAATATATGACAAAACGTTAAAAATTAAGTTTATATGTAAAGCTGAACAATATATTGAATAACAATTATGATTCCAGCATCAAAATATGTAAAATTAGGTATGAGGTGAGTTTTGTTTCCAAGATTGACCACTGCGCAGATTGCGCACTGCAGGTTAGCAGGCTGATAGGAAGAAGACCCCACCTCTTTTCCCTCTTGCAAGACGGAAACATTTTACAGTTGTGAAAATAGAGCTGCACAATAATTAGAGTCAAGGTTAATTAGAGTCAAGGTTTCCCACAGAAAACTTGCTAAGCCCGGTGGCTGGGTACCAGGGGAGTCATTCATTCAGCAGGCCATTGTGTTATTGAGTTAAAAAATGTTTAAAATTGACAGGAACTTTGAAAATATCACTTGATAATTATGTGTTATTGAAAAATTGGAAAATTAATACCTGAACACCAACTATAAAGTCTTAAAAATGCAAACATTTTAAAAAGACTTAAATAAATAAGCAATGCTTAGCCTGGTGGGGGCACAAGTGAAGCCTGGTGGCCCGCCAGACTTAACATACACTGGGGGGGAACTCTGGACAATGCAATGTCGCAATCTCAAAAGACTGTTTGGCTGCAATATTTGTCAATATTCAATCTCTGCTTGTCTGTGACATAGTGCTGGATGGCTCACAATATTCAAGAATAATGCAATATTACCCACTGATAATTTTTTATTTTATATTGGCTTTCCTGTACTACAGAAAACAACTTGATAGGTGATAATATTAAAGAATTACATCAACTGGTTTCAAAACAAATTGATGTAAGGTTTATTAAAACAAATCAAATGTGACAGCTTTGCTTCGTTTGAACTGTAGCATCTTACTTTAGTCTGACGCTTTATTCCAATAAACACTTGTCTGTGGTTTGTTAACTAATTAATGTCTAGAATAATCCCAAACTAATTAACGTAATGGTCCAGAAGTCATATGCTTGATGAAGATTTAACACTGTTAATGGTTCCTGTTTGCAATGACTTCCTGTGTGTGAAAGAATGAAAAAGTCTCCTTCATCTGTCATCTCAAGGTGATTATCTCCACATTCATCCATTCCTGGGAGGAAAAGCTGCCTTACTGCTGGAGAGTTGCAACAGGAGATCTACTGGCACTTTTTCACCCCCCATCTTGAAGTGTTATTAGTCAGACACTTGGCTTCAGCCCAAACAATGTAGCAGTGCTCTGGCTTCACCTTGCCTCGCGGTGGAGGGAACAGTCGTGCTTCGTGAGCATCTTAAACACGGTGATATGGAGATGTATGAAACAGAAGGAAGATCTGATATCCCATCTGAGATTTAACAGATTGCAGAGCTGCTTTAATATATATATATATATATATATATAATAATATATATATATATATATATATATATTATTATATATATATATAGATATATATAATATATATATATATATATATATATATATAGATATATATATATATATATATTTATATATATTTATTTTTATGTGCAAAATCTGTGCAACACCTAATACAACACATTTTTTCAATTTTCAGTTTTCTGTTCCACATGCTCTCTGCATTTGTATGAAGTTATTTATGTCAGAGTTATATGTGGAGCTCTTTTGACAGGATCAATCTCTATCAATAGTTAGATTTCTCAAACAAACAACAAAAGCAGACCAACTGACACCTATTAATAATTCAGAAGAGTTAAAACTGAAGTTAAAAATGCAGCCAATGTATCAGAATTATAACTTTCAAGACTCTTTTCCAACCTGTTGTTAATTTGCTTTGTTTCAAATCAGCTGATAAGTTTGATTTTTGAGGTGGGATTTTTATTATTATTATTAGCTCCTGCATTTTTTATGTTTCCCTGCATCAACACACCTGGATGAAGTCACGAAGCAGGACTCTGTAGAGGTTATATGCTCAGAAAGCTGTTCAGCCCATAGATTCAGATGCGGTGTTTTAGGGATGTATGAAAAACTTGTAAGCACTCCAGCAATGGAGCGAAAGACCCCAAATGTTAGTAAAAACATGATGCTGCGTTTCCTCATTTTAGAGGTTGCAAATACGAACAGAAACCAATCAGACATAAAAATCTAAGCCAGTCAGTTAAAAGGAAGATCATTGATCTCCAAAATTTGATCATCTTTGCTGGAGGGAGGCCACTGGAATCAAACTGTGACTTAGACATTACCTTTACCCTCTGCAACGCAAATGCTGCAGAATCGACTGCAAAATCTGTCAAAAGCCGCTTTCCTGCCTTCATGTTAACTAATGCCAGGTCACTAGTTTGAGTCTTGTCATCAACTCAGACACAAAACAGACTTGGTAATATTTTTTTTTTAATTCAAAATTTCAAATCCAAACAACTCTGTGTTTATGTCAGTGTACATTTATTAGAAACAAGGGATTTTTTTCCATAGAATCATTAAAAAAACTGCAGTGCTATGCAACAGGGCCCCATAAAAATCTTGAATAAAAAAAGCACGGCTGAGCTTTGTTAAACTGCTCCACTTTCTTGGGTGTAAGGTGCATCATTCATCCTGGATCCTTATTCACGCCTCTTAAGGATGCAATATTAAACACAATAAAAAGGTAAGGAATCTTACGCATTAAAAGTCGACAATTATTTCCAAAACTGACTGAATTTATGTCAGTATCCAGACAATATCAGTGTTCAAATGTTTCGCAGATAAAAACAAAGTAAATAGGTTTAATTTTATAGTAAACAAGGACAGCAATATTTAAAGAAGCTGCAAATAGTAAATGATCAAAATTGTTTCACCTTTCAGAAATGATCAACAAAGACACACCAAGATATCTAACTAAATATAACTCTCTGTGTATAATCATTTGGAGTTTGTGTGACTTCTGAATGCAAATATTTTAACTATGATTCGTAGAGTGTAAGCTATTCTGGATTGTAAGAGGAAATTGTTACAATCTTTGACTGTATATAGAAAACAACAAAACAAAAAACACAAGCAAAAACATCAGAAACGTTTGTTTTCTGACAAAACTTCATTTCCTTTTTCTCTCTCTCTTTTTTAGAAATAATTATGAATAAGATTTAAAGGAAGCTAACAACTCATAAGTTCCTACCTTCCTCAGTAGTTTGAGCACTTCTCCTGCTTGCTCTGTCTTGTGCTCCCGGAGCATCCTCTGGATCTCCCGGACCCAGGCCACCCGTCTGACATACGGGCTCTGGTTGCTTTTCCGCAGCATCCCCGGCAGCTTGTCGGACTTGAGCATCAGGGATGTAAACAAGAAGTCTCCGCCGCTCCTGCCGCCACTTCTCTCCTCCTCTTTAGGCAGATCATTCCGCTGGTGTCTCCTTTTGGTCAATTTGCTCTCAAAATCCAGACTTCTTTGTCGGGTTAACTTGGAGCCCATCACTCCAGGGAGGATGTGTCGGAGGCAGTGGAACTGAGCTGGAGCGGGGCTTGTGCAACGCGCAGCCAAAACATCACACCTAAGCTGCTCCGTACGGGACTGGACGCGCATCAGACGTCTGCTTCAAAGTTGCAAAGCTGCTTAGAAACGCGCTGCAAAAAGCACATTACAGTGCGCTGTTCGTGTGGCCGACGTCCCCTGCATGCATCCCTCTCCATGCACTGCCCGAGCACTCTGGCATCCTTTGCCTCCACTCGGAGCTGGAGCTCTTCTCAGCCAATCAGACGGGGAGCTGCTGCTCAGCTTGGGAGCGAGAGTCATGCAGCAGACTGTTGAATGTTGTCAGATTCGTTTTCCCACCTTTCCCCGCATCATAAGCCAGGCAGACAGGTTAGAGACAAACTGACAGGATACTCAGCAGAAGCGCAAAAACAAAAACACTTTAAATCCATCATAATAAATAACTTTACCAAGAAAAAAAAATATCATTTCTGAAAAATGATTATTCTCTACTAGATTCTGGTTACTTTGTTAATTTTTCTGGATGCTCCTATATCAGTGGTCCACAACCTTTTTATTACCGCGGACCGGTCAAAATTTGGCAATTTTGTCGCGGCCCGTCAGATAATGCTTCCGCATGTTGGTGTTCCCGGTGAAGCCTTTATTATTATTATTTATTTATTTTGCCTTTACGACAATCTTACGACGTGCTGCAGTGTGTGGTATGTTGAACACGAATAAGTTGAATAAGTGGCGGCATATTCAACATTGTCTTGGCGAGATTATCTCAGCCTGTGTGGTTTTTTCTCCTGACCAGGAGCAGAACGCGGCACGCAGGTAGCCAATCAGAAAGCGCGGTGACGTAAGCACGGAGGGAATCCCAAACAGTGTGCATGGCAACTGAGAGTCCGGTGGACATCGGACAATTTATATATGTTTATCATATATGGCTGTTTATTCAGTTAAAAATGTTAACTATGAAAAAATATAACTCACCTCCTGCCGACTTTTATCTAAGGACTTGTATTGCTTAGAATGATCCACAAACTATCGCTGCTGCTTCTACATCGTTATCGTGTTTGTTTATTATAAATTAAAGTATGGTATGTTGGGGGTTTTACTGGATTTTCTTCTGGAATCGGGATGTTCGTGAGTGGAACGGGTTGCTGGACACACGAACCGAACGAACCTGTTGGACTTTCATCGTCTCCGAGGTCACAAAGGTTTGGAAAACCGGCCGGCAATCCTTAAATCGTGCCGTGTGAACCAGACCTAAAACGCACCAGCTCCACTCCTCTCGTCTCCTCTCGACCACTGCCCTAACGGTCTATGACTCTGGTCGCTATGGTAACGTTTACGTATCCCTTCAAAATAAGACACAGATGCGACGCAAAAACGAACATTTTACTCTCGTGAAAATTTTAACTGACGATAACGACTAATGGGAGTCCTGAGCTTGTTTTTTTCTGCAACGACACGGTCCCATCTGGGAGTTAGTGACACCCGAAGAGTGGCTAATGCACAGGATGCTAACTTGGTCTCCACAGTTCGAAGCTTCATTCCCTCATTAGCGAGCCGGAAACCACGTCAGAGCAGCTTGGACTGTGGGAATCACCTACCGAGATAAATCCAGTTTCCAGTCTCTTCTGGGCCTTTTCTCTTCACAAAGAAACTTCTCACAGACATCTGATCTGTTTCTGACTCATTTTGCTGCTTGTGGTTCAATGTTGGCGCGCGAGACGCAACCGAGAGAATCCGGTTAAAGGATTTTCAAAATAAAAGATCCTCCAGACTCAAATAGTACATAAAACTGAAATATTCAATTATTTCTTGCCTACTCCCTACAAGTTATGGGAGTAACTCAAATAGTGTGATGCACCACTGCAACCAGTTGGTCCAGAGTGATTATATAAGTTTCTAATGAGCTACAACAACCAGATTGGTCTTAGTTGGTTTCAGAAACATCTAATTTGTCATGATTACAGTATGAATAACTTAGTTTAATCTTTCTTTTTTTTCTAAGACTTGTTATTGATTTTGTTTGGGCGTTGATCCTGACGTTATCCCAGGGATCGAAACCTGATAATTCATTAGTGATAAAGACAACATCACACTTGTTTTTCTGATATTTCTATCTCACACATACAAGGGTTCTCTCTCTGACTGAATCGGTATTCTCCTCTGGTCTCTTTTCATTGACAAATTACATGCATTTCATCTCTTTAGTAATAGCTAAAGAAAATACAGAGACACTAAAAGTTAATTACTTTTGTTACTGGATTCTCCAGTTTCTCACAGTTTTTATTGATGATAGATGGATACAAATTCAAACAGCGAAATGAAACCAAACGTCATCGTTTTGTTGGGATACTCCAGTTTTATATTCCTAAACACGCATGTATTTCAGGTAACTTGTAATTTACTGAAAATACAATCAAAAATTCTGAAAAGATTTTTTGTTTTCTTGAAGTTATTTAATGAACTGAGTTCTCGAGACTATGAACGATTTTTCTCGATTGCTTCCATGATGCCGTCAACCTCACATTTTCAAAACAGTTAACACGGGACAAAACATCAACACTCATGGTCAAAGAGACACAATTTGTTTGCAAAAAGCTCACCGTGCCAAACATTTGAAATATAGGCTAAAACAAAAGCAAATAAAGTTGTCAAATATGAGGTCTTCCCATCAATTATTACAAATTAGATAACACATTATATCACTTTCATGCTAGTATTGTTGGTCATCTTTAAACACGGCTAGTACCAAATTGTTCTTCTTGAAAAGAATTGGGTCTAGAACCAGAAAGGCTTCTTTCTGTCCACATTTTATTGACTGCATGACATTTTGTTCAAACTGCGACTGAAAACTGAAATACCTTTAATATATAGAAACCTCAAACCTCAGAGTTTTAGTCAAAACGCCATTTGACAAGGATTCTCAAACCTCAGAGCTTTAGTCAAAACGCCGTTTGACAAGGATTCTCAAACCTCAGAGTTTTAGTCAAAACGCCATTTGACAAGGATTCTCAAACCTCAGAGCTTTAGTCAAAACGCCATTTGACAAGGATTCTCAAATCTCAGAGCTTTAGTCAAAACACCGTTTGACAAGGATTCTCAAACCTCAGAGTTTTAGTCAAAACGCCGTTTGACAAGGATTCTCAAACCTCAGAGTTTTAGTCAAAACGCCATTTGACAAGGATTCTCAAACCTCAGAGCTTTAGTCAAAACGCCGTTTGACAAGGATTCTCAAACCTCAGAGGTTTAGTCAAAACGCCGTTTGACAAGGATTCTCAAACCTCAGAGCTTTAGTCAAAACGCCATTTGACAAGGATTCTCAAACCTCAGAGCTTTAGTCAAAACGCCGTTTGACAAGGATTCTCAAACCTCAGAGTTTTAGTCAAAACGCCATTTGACAACGATTCTCAAACCTCAGAGTTTTAGTCAAAACGCCATTTGACAAGGATTCTCAAACCTCAGAGCTTTAGTCAAAACGCCATTTGACAAGGATTCTCAAACCTCAGAGTTTTAGTTAAAACGCCATTTGACAAGGATTTTCAAACCTCAGAGCTTTAGTCAAAACGCCATTTGACAAGGATTCTCAAACCTCAGAGTTTTAGTTAAAACGCCGTTTGACAAGGATTCTCAAACCTCAGAGTTTATAAATAACAATGAGCATATAATGATGGTCCTAAGGACACACATATTGTTCAGAACATTAAATATATAATCAATATATAATCAGCTGAGGTAGACAGATAAAAAATTCTTTCATTCTGACACTTAAAAAAAAAATTGTAAAATACAAATTTTGAAACCCGAGTAATATTTTTTTGTTGTTGTTAGGTATTTTCCTCGAACCTACAATAAAATAACCACAGACAACGTATATGAATTAAATATGGTCAGGCTTCTGCAGAAGGAGAAATCCCGATCAACAGCTCCTCCGAGCTGTTCAATAGAGAGTTCTGATCTCCTTTCACGTGAGCGCCCTCTTTATTGTCAAAGAACATCAAACAACAGAGGTCGTAAAACATTTAACACAAACAGACCAACAACTCAGTTCCAGGTGTGATATCTAATTTACAATCTGAGCCCAGTTCAGCTCTGGGTCAAACTGTCACCTAAGATTGGGTAGATAAACACCAGAGAAGAAGGTCTGAGAACCATAAAGTTTTACTATCTCGCATGAAGACAGTCGTAACCTCCAGGTCAGCCCATACACACATAAGGAAGAGGACACTTTAACAAAATGATAATATCAAAAAATCTCTAACATTCCCCCCTTTTTATCATTTTACTATGTGTATAAACTGCTATGCAGAAGCCAAATATAGAAAATAAAATAAAAGAAAATAATAAAAAACTAATCTAAACACAGAGAATACATAATGAATAAAAGTAATATAATGAAATACATGAAAAAACAAAAGAATAAACAGTAAAAAATAAAATGCAGTTTTCTCATCCTACACATCACTTGTTTCACATTTTCGGTGTAGGAGTCATTCAGCAAATGAATTCATCTGTTTATTGATAACAGAAATTCATCATTGTTCAGAAAATCGTCAGAAACTTGGAAGGCATCTTCAGTTGTTTCATACCTTTGATTTTGATCGTGTAATTGTTTTAAATATCATATGTCGTAGACAAGGAATAATGCAACCCGTAAAAAGACAGAACAGAATTAACACAATCAGCATAGGTGTCTCGATCTTTAACAGCAAGGACCACCTTGGTCCAGAAGTGAGCCTTGAAAGCAAATCAAAAGAGGATGAGCCGCGTGTTCCACTCTCCACATACTGTTTTAAATCTCACAGCATGTTGGGCCAATGATTTTGCAGACCCCTCCCTGAGGGGCAGTGAGAAAGTCCAGGACAACACGGTTTTGCATAACCATGTTTCTCAGTTCAGTCAGTTCTTTCATGGTGCCATTGGCCAGCTGGTATGTGATGTTGATCAGTCGTAATAATCCGTACCTGTTTATCTCAACATGGTCGAATCTCTCCTAGACCAACCCACGGAAAAAGACCTTGCATGAATTTTTTCCGCCGTTCCAAATCCTGAATTCCCATGGAACGTATGTGTTTGTTAGGCCTCCTCATCTTTTGACGTCTGGCATAGCTGTTCGCTATGCTTCGCTATCTACACACCCGCATAGCGGGTGTGTAGATCATTTTGTGCTTTCCAGTCTGCTAATATCCGAGAGCCATAATCTCCTGGCACTATGGCGCTGCACAGTGTTCTTCAGGATCCTGTTTTAAATAATGTGCACATTTAAAAAGAGATATCTCAAACTTATGTTAGGCTCTAACAACAACCAATAGTTTCCTGATGTCTGGTACCACTTTTCGAACTAGCGCTTGTTTCCAATTTACACACCACGTTTTTCTATTGTTTTTGGTTTTAACCATCTATCCATATTCTTTTTGTACTTGTATTGGTTGCTCTTTCTCGGTTTGTATTCCGCAATCCGCGCTGGCAGAAGGAGGGACCTAAAACAGGTCCGCAGAACCTGACTGGTAGATTTTAGCGCGTCATCCCCGTCGAGTGTTTATTGATCCAATTTTTTAGCTTCCCATCTATTTTATATTTCTTTTTCCATTTTTTTAAATTTTTATTTATGTATACCATGCTACCAGGAAATCTGGACAGCATGTATTTCTCATCCCCATGGGGCCCCTCAACGAGTGAGGAATTACACGAATTTGCATTTTCCATTATTCAAATCACTTTGCAGTTTTGGCTTCAAAATTTTTTATTTATTTAAATTTAGTCCAGGTTCGTTGACTCCTAGGGAGTCCTATGAACTGGAGATCTTTTCAGTAGGCCAGCAATTAAAAATACCTTGTTGTGGTATTCTCCACTTCAACTCTTTCGAGTGGGAGAATCTTGCCTTTGCATCCACAAGTTTGCTGCTTACCTACCCCTACTGTTTTTATATGAGGTAAAATACAGAGCCGTATTTAAACCTCCACTCAGTTTTTCACGCATACGCACACATCAACAAAGCAGCACACAAACCAGCAATGACATATAGTAATAACAAGACAGAGATTTTTAGCCAAAATACCATTTGACAAGGAATATCTCAAACCCCAGAGTTTTAGTTAAAAACATTGTTTAACAAGGATACTCACACCCCAGAGTTTTAGTCAAAACGCCATTTGACAAGGATTCTCAAACCTCAGAGCTTTAGTCAAAACGCCATTTGACAAGGATTCTCAAACCTCAGAGCTTTAGTCAAAACGCCGTTTGACAAGGATTCTCCTCAAGCTTTAGTCAAAACGCCGTTTGACAAGGATTCTCAAACCTCAGGGTTTTAGTCAACGCCATTTGACAAGGATTTCTCAAACCTCAGAGCTTTAGTCAAAACGCCATTTGACAAGGATTCTCAAACCTCAGAGTTTAAGTCAAAACGCCATTTGACAAGGATTCAAACCTCAGAGTTTTAGTCAAAACGCCATTTGACAAGGATTCTCAAACCTCAGAGTTTTAGTCAAAACGC